ATGTTTTATCCTGAAGTACCCCTCAACACAGAAAACAAATTAATAGCACAAAAGACACCAGCTTAAGGCTAGCCTTAGAATTCTTTTTCACATTAATCAAAACTTTACAGAGGAGATAAACACTGATTTTTTAAAATCATTCATTTAACTGTTTGCACAGAGACAGAGAAGTCAGAAATCGGACTGCTAGAAAATTCTTACACTTTTGCCGGCATGCCAAGCTTCTGGGTTCCCTTTCCCTAAGCAGCCCTAGTGATCCAGCTTGTGGCATCATTGACCTGAGAGCTAACCCACATCATAAAGGAAAATTATTATTAATTCTGGGCAAAGCAAAATACATGTGATAAAACATAGACATTAGCCACTCTGATTAGCACCCAATATCAAACTGGCAGAGCTCAAATTTGGCCCCAGATGGGCCCCGTCATCTTTAATCCAGCCTCCAACTTGGAGTTTCAAAAAACGGTCTCTGGGCAAGATGGTCACCCTGAGCAATAGAAATGATGAGAAAGGGAAACGAGAGAGGGAGAAAAGCATTTCCTGTGGCAGAGTCGGGGAGGCAAAATGGTCAGGAAGGCCAGCGAAAGACCTGCCCATTACAGTGACATTGAAAAGTTCAGGCGGCTGCTTCTTGGTAGCAAAGGGATCATTTCCAGTAATCCTGTAAGCTCTCAAGTTTCCCTTTTCAGGAAAAACAAAGCGCCCCATATCCCACAATCCTCTACATGCCTAATCCTGTCACCCACAGCTTTCAGCAAAGAGTGCAAGGCAGATTAATCCAGAGAATAGCAGCTAACATCCCATCGTGCCAAACCTGTTCTTAGCTGAGACAGACTTTATGGAGAGGGGGCTCTAATCCTCTAAAGCTGAGAAGGGACTGTAACTCTCCTAAATTGGCCCCATAACCCACAGTCGCTCAAGCATCCTTGCCTTTTATTAAGAGGGGCCTCTAACCTACTTTGTCTTAGGAGAGACTCTAACCCAATCCCATTCTTTACCCGGCTACCCCACCACTCACCCAAAGTCATCCAATCAGTGCTGCAGTCTGTTTCCTTTGGGGTGGGGTGTTTCTTCGGTATCGTCCTTTCTATAGTTCACCAGAAATATGTTACAGTTCCCCAATACTTACCCAAAGGTAGCTGTTGGGTCAGGGATTCTGCACTATAGTCCCTTCTGGGGCTGCCAGAAATATGTTACAGGAAAGAGGCTAGATCCAGACCCCAAGAGAGGGTTCTTGGATCTCACACAAGAAAGAATTCAGGTCAACTTTGCAGTGCAAAGTGAAAGCAAGTTTATTAAGAAAGGAAAGGAATAAAAGAAGGGCTACTGCATAGACAGAGCAGCCCTGAGAACTGCTGGTTGCCCATTTGTATGGTTATTTCTTGATGATATGCTAAACAAGGGGTGGATTATTCATGTCTCCCCTTTTTAGACCTTTCTGACATTGCCATGGCTTTCGTAAACTGTCATGGTGCTGATGGAAGTGTAGTAGCGAGGACGACCAGAGGTCACCCTCGTTGCTATCTTGGTTTTGGTAGGATGTAGCTGGCTTCTTTACTGCAACCTGTTTTATCAGCAAGGGCTTTATGACCTGTATCTTGTGCCAACCTCCTGTCTCATCCTGTGACTTAGAATGCCTTAACTGTATGGGAATGCAGCCTAGTAGGTTTTAACCTCATTTTACCCAGCTTCTATTCAAGATGGAGTTGTTCTGGTTCACATGCCTCTGACACCATAGCTCTTCCAAAGACAATCTATTGCTCATTTTAATGAATAGTCTACTTTATTAATATTCTGTTGCAAAAGGGAAAAATAATCAACTCTGAAAACAAACGTCACTTTTAACCTAAATATTGTCTTCTAAAATATAATTTTTTTTGTTTTTAACTATGAAATATTCATTAGGAAACCCAGCTACAATAAATTGGATCTGACATTTAAGGCAGAATACATGGAAACTGAGACCAGTGGGCCAGGTGTGAAAGTCATCTTGAATGATAATTTTCCTCTGTCACTTAAAAACAAGTTCTGTCTTGTCTAAGACAGTGATTATCATTTCGTTTCCAGAGTAAATAACAAAATACTTATATTTTGATGGCAAGAACATTGTGTAATGCACATGCTCTATCTAAGGTTGGGGAAGGAAGGTGCTTGCCAGTGGGGTCATGTTGGTTGCTCTATTTTAGCATTTAGTTTTAGCTTGTCACTTTGTGGTATCTGGATATAAGTAGATACCATTAATCAAAATAATAAATCAATTAGTGTCATATGTTAAGTGAAACAAAAAAGAAAGGTGTACTCATAATGTAATAAAATCCTCTTTTGACATACCAATAAACAGAGAATAATGCAAATATTGGAATATTTCATTTGCAACAGAAATCCTGAGAAACACCATTAAAAGGAAATAATAAGACTATTACCAAAATGAATAGAAAACAATGAAAGTCCTACATGGTAAATGGATTGAAACAGAGCAGTCTATTTTTCCATTAAGATATTCAGTGTAATGTTTGTGTATGTGGGTATGTACTTAAATTTTTTTGTTGTTTTTCTAGAGCTAATTTCATTTTCAACTTGGGAGAAATATTAACCCTAATTAGTGCTTAAAATATCTTCAGGTTTGTGCTGAAATATTTTCTTAATTCTGTCTGGAAACCTACCAAACTGCCCAGGTGAACACTTTAGACAGGAGTGGAAAATGAAAAAAGAAAATTGTTTTTGCAGAAGATTTAAGCAACAATAAACTGTAGGAAGACAGATGTTTAGTAGGGATAAAGAGAGCTAGTATTTCTTCTGCCCTTGCTATGTGCCAGGCTAAACTATGCTAAACTCATGTCCTTTTATTTAATTTCTACAATGAACCTAAGATACAAGCACTGTCATTATCCCATTTCACAGATGAGGTTTAGAGGAATTAAATAAGGTGCCACAGGTTACAAAGGTTGTAAGGGATAGTTGTGAACCCAGACTTATATCCTCTTGAACCTGATCTTTTTTGCTGCCCCTATCATACCACTTTTTTCATTGTATTACAATTATCCCTTTACACACCCACCTCCCACACTTCCTGTTAGCCCCCCTGTGGCAAACACAGTGTCTTACTTATCCTTGTAGTTCTGAGGATTTGGCATAGTGATGTGATATATTATGGAAGCTCAGTAAGTGCCTTTGGAATGACTAATGTATTGTCCCAAGTCACGAAAGGTTTATATATTCAAGAAAATGTTGCCTTATGATGGAAATAACTGATGTGAAAACAGTGTCAATTACTTTTAAAGCTGTATTCGGCATTCCTTTTCTCAAAGATCAGATTTTTCAGAAAGGTGAGTGAGAGATTGCTGCTGCCTATAGAAATTTGAGGGCGTATGAAAAAAAACCCAGAGATGATTAAATAATGTGAAATATATGTACAGTATTAAGAAAGGTTAAGAGAAGGAATACTGAAAGCACAGTTTAACTAATGGTTTTTACATTCATGATGGGCTTGTCTTGTCTACAGGGAAGCAACCTGTTTTTCATTGATATCACTATCAATAGTCAGGGGACATTTTCAAGCCTTAGGAAATTTTTTAAAGCTTAAAATGCAATTAGTAGAGGAAAGAAAACTATTTTATATTAAAACATTATGCAGTATAGACTTAATGGGGAAAATCAATTTAGCTTCAGCTTTGAGGGATTGAAATCTGATCAAAGAAAACCATTTCTGGTTATAGGGAATAGTTTATAAAGTGGGTTTGAGGAGGATTCTAGATGAGTTTGCACTTACATCTTTAAAATGGGTGGTATTAACTTCCACAATCACATCTTGCTCCACGATATTCTGATTAAATGTGACGATAATATCTATTTTAATTTGGGTTTGTAATCGCCCTGTCAGAAAGCTGCAGCCAGTAAAAGCTCTCTACTCCTTGCTGTATAAGCATACTTCCACCATTTGTTTCCTTTTCTAAAGGATGCTACACGTTGAATTCTGCTACTGCCTGCAGCAGTCTTCAGAAGTCAAAGACCAGAATGAGCAAGGACTGCCATACAAAATAATGTATCCACCCTGCCAGCACTGACATTTCCAATTGCCGAGCCTTACAGAAGGCTGGTGAATGCCCTTGTCCCTCCCTGGATATGAAATTATTTGTAAAAAAAAAAAATCCTTCACAGTGAAGAAAATACATCAAGAGTGGAGTTATGTCTACCAGTGCCAGTATGTCAAGTTGCCGGGGTGCTTTTGTTGATTTTGTTTTCTTACAGCTGCCTAGCGTGAATACACCTCCAATGTAAAATTTTGATTTAGTTATAAAAAATTCTGAAACATCTAAATTAAAATGAATGTTCATTCCCTATTTTACTTGATTCTGTGATGAAATGATCTTAACTTTTTTCTGAGACTTTTCATGATCACCTCAAAAAGGTTTTTTGTTTGTTTGCTTATTTGTTTTTGAGACACGGTCTCCCTCTGTCACCCAGGCTGGAATACAGTGGCACAACCTTGGCTCACTGCAATCTCTGCCTCCTGGGATAAGGTGATTCTCCCACCTAAACCTCCCGAATAGCTGGAAATACAGGTGTGCACCACCATGGCCAGCTAATTTTTTGTTTTTGTCTTTTTAGTAGAGACAGGGTTTCACCATATTGCCCAGGCTGGTCTCAAACTACTGAGCTCAAGGGATACACCTGTCTTGGCCTCCCAAAGTGCTGGAATTACAGGCGGTGAGCAACTGTGCCCGGCCAAGGCTGTGCTCCTTCTAAGGGGAGTTACATACTCTTCTCAAAGCATTTACTACATGGGTCTGCATTGTCATGTTCCATATGCTCATCAGTCCATCTCAGCAGATTATTACCTCCTTCAGAGCAGAGCTGTGTTTTGTTACCTTTGCCTTCCCAGTATCTAGCAGGGTGTGTAGCAGGCATAGTCATGGTCAATAAATACTTTTTGGATGATTTTTTTCTGAAGTTGCCCCTTTCTCTTTCCTTCTCACTTATTCATCTCTCACCTTCTTTAGGTCCTCTCCATTTGTCCCAAGGACATGAGAGCTGATATCTGTGTTCATCTAAACCGGAAGGTTTTTAATGAACATCCTGCTTTTCGATTGGCCAGCGATGGGTGTCTACGCGCCTTGGCAGTAGAGTTCCAAACCATTCACTGTGCTCCTGGGGACCTCATTTACCACGCTGGAGAAAGTGTGGATGCCCTCTGCTTTGTGGTGTCGGGATCCTTGGAAGTCATCCAGGATGATGAGGTGGTGGCTATTTTAGGTACTGTGAACTTTCCTAATGTAGTAGCAAATGCGTAATAACAGCTTTAGGTATTTTGCTTCTCAGATTTTTAAAGAGAAATTTCCTTTGTTTGGTAACTTTGGAAATTGGGTCACTAATGAGATGTGAATTTTAATGAAAACTAATAATGCTGTTTCAGCAGAGAACATTAGTATCAGTCACAGCCTAATGAGCTGAGTAGGGGTTTGATTAAACTTTCTTTGGCAACAGCAGGACCGTACCTTCTAGACTAAAGGTGGTTACAGCCTAAGGTGCCTTGTAGCTCCGTGTGAGTAAGTAGGAAAATGGCTTGTGGAATGATTATCATGGTAGTGACATAAGGTGTTAGTCTCAGAAGGGTGATAGAACCTCTCTAGCTCAACCCTTTTCTTTAGAGAGGAACCAAGTGAAGCCCAGAAAAGCTTAGTGATTTTCCCAGTTAGTTAGTAAATGAATGGAGGCTTGAATATAGATGATTTTACTCCAAAACTTTCTCCCTCATCACAGTCAACCTAAATAGTGAGCTGAAAGTGCAGAGGAGGTTAATAAGTCTGACCTTTTATAGTGGAGTGATCACAATATGAGTAAATTAAACTTAGGTTTATAAAGCTGGTTCTGTCCACCTGTATTCAAAAGCCCTACAAATTATTTGGCTAATAATAAATTCATTTTAAAATGCAGAGAATTTTAGAATTTAGAATTCAGTAGATAGTTCTGCTAACCACAACCACAATAAAAAGGCAGTAACCGTATATGTAAGTGAGAAAATAAAAAAATGTTGCATATTTGGGGACGGTGTAGGATATATTGCTTGGCAAAACAATTGCCAAATGACCTTTTAGATCATTTTCTGCTCAAAGATCTGCAGCAGGTTCATGATATCCACAGATAGAAAAGGAAGTAATAAAATAAGGTCAGAGGAGAATCACTCCTTGTTTTTTTTATCAGGTAAAATAAGTCAGAATTGCAGGATGTCGACTTCATTTTGATCACATTTTTCACGGCTTGTGTCTCATGAAAAATGAGCTCAATTTTTAAACTATTGGATTTTCAGCTACCGAGGTCAACCTACCATAGCTTGAATGCCACTTATTCTCAAAAGTAGGCGATTAACTAATAGATTTTAAAAACTACAAAAATACAATCCACCACAATAATGAAAAATTGACTTCAAAAAGCACCATTACTTGAAAAATATAGAATTGAGATTGGAAAAGAAATAACTCTTCATGGGAAAACAGGTTCTGTAAAAATCGTGAGTTCTAGAAAATGGTTCAGGGTTGCAAATGACTGAATACCATGGTTTGTAAGCCTTTCGTTAACTGTATATAAACAATAGCGTTATAGTTAGATTTCTTCTAGGAACTATTTTAAGTTTTTTTCAAGAAGAAAATACAACACTTTAAAGTCAGCGTTCTGGTTATGTTTAATGCTCATTAGTGCTTATTCTGCTTTGTTTACTGGAGGATAAAGGAGTTAAATATAACCCTTCATAAAAAGTGTACATTTCACCAGAACAATCCTTTGTGGTAAAATGAAGCATATTCACACTGTAACCATTCTTGTTTGCATAGAGAAGAGGATAAAATACAAGGCCAAAGCAGATTTATTTTATTTTCCTGAATGTCCATGTCAATGGTGGGTAGGAAAAAAATATCAAATATATTACCTGAAAATGAGTACCCTCATGATAAATGACCTGAGCTGTAGAGTCGTTATCATTTGCTTTGTTCCATTTTCTTCATTACAACTTCACTTGGGTAACTCTTTTCTGAAAGAAGGCTGGCGAAAGTCCTGGGTACAGTGTGCCTCTGGCCTGAGTCTGCTAAAATGGAACAATTTGCTCAGTGAGATAGACAAAATGCATTTTCCTTTCATTTTAAAATAAAATGGTAACTTGTTTTGCCCAGTGACACAGTAAAAATCAACACAGGACCCCTGGGTATTGGACCCATCTCATCATATATCTGTCACATTTTATTATTTTGAGTGTGGGCTTTTTGTTCTCACTCCTCAAAAATCTTGGGATTCAGAAACTTTTCACATCTTGTGCTTAATGACTCAAATTATATGGACAATTCTCTGGGTACCTTTATTTCTTTTTCTCTACAGGACTCTGAAAAAGACTAGTTCATTCAAAAGTCCACCAGATCAAGATTTTTTGTTTGTTTGTTTAACATACAAAATGCTTTAATGATGTTTGAAGAAAGGAGGATTAAAATAGTAATTTACCAGCACCATTTTTTCCTTGATTCTCCTCTTCATCCTCTTCTTTACCTCTTTCTTCACCTCCTCTTCCCTTTCTTCTTCTCATTTTTGATAGTTTAATTTCGAAATAACTGCATGCTTAATGAAAAGTTACAAAAGTTATCAGGATGTGAATGGATTATATTAATATATTTAATATTTAATATATATAATTAATATAATATAAATATATTTAATTATTAATATATATTTAATCTTTAATATATGTCATCCCTTCACATCCTGATATATATATGTGTGTATATATAAGTTATGTGTGTATGTGTGTGTGTGTGTGTGTGTGTGGGTGTGTGTGTGTATATATAAAGATATATATGTATGTCTTTAAGTTCTGTTTTATTAAGTTGATTTGGTCTGTATAACTTTAAGTGCTTTTTAAAAATCTTTTTGATTTGTCCTGGCACTGAGAGTGGCAGGCTAATGTATCTTATTATTCATGTGTTTTATCTATGTCTCCTCGCATCTCTTGTAGCTATAACATTTGCTGCTGTGTTATTTGGTGTACAGATATTTATGATTGTTATGTCTTAATTTTCAACTGTGGCCTTTGGCATTGAAATATGGCAAAAGCTGTCATGTTTAATGCTCTTTGCCTTGCAAGGGTCAGAGAGGAATAAAATCCCTACATTCTTCACATCTGAGGATACCTCATAAAAATGGGAACTTGCCTAAATTAGTCTGATAGGAGAAATAAGAAGGCCTTGCTATCTCTTACACTGATTCATTTGCCAGCTAAAAGGTAGGGAAGGGAGGTTATTTTAAAATTAATTAGAATCTTTGAATCCAAAATCAGGTGCAGTTTCTTCTTTTTGGATTCTTGCCACTAAACAGTTTCTTGATAGGTACATAATTCTTTGGTGTGTCAAAAGTGCTAAGGAGTTTAATGAATAAGTTCTGAAGCATAACTAATTAATGGAAAGATAAAAAAGTCAGTCAACAAATAACCTCCTTTAACACCGGAGGATGGCTTCAAGATGTTTTTCTAAATAGGGCATATGGATATAATTGCAGTTCATGTCTTTTTTCAATTTGAAGTTCTTTCAGTTCCTACACCTCCACCTTTTTTTGACCTTCCCACTTTTTATAAAAAACAAAGAATTCCAAATTAAGTTGATGATGCATACATAATATTTTATATTCTTTAAAGACTTATTCCTTTTTAGTTTCTACCCTATAATTAATGTGAACAGATTTATTGGTATGACTGAAATAGCCAGGTTACTTCTCAGTGTCTTGACAAGTATATTGTGCCTTTCAGAGGTTATAAAAATGACATTTCCCTGCCAATAATAGACCCTGCTCCTAACACATTTGTTTTGTTGTATTTTCATTTTGTCTTTTCTCATCTGTGTTCATTGATTATTAGAATCATACGGTTAGAGTTATTAAACTAAGACAATCTCTAAGTCTTTTAATGTAACTTCAGATTCTCAAGAGTGCTATGCTTGTTTATGTATGGTTTGGATGGAGTGTTGAAAATTGTTATGGGGTTGGGAAAAACAGCATAAATGAGGACAGAACTAACATAACTAAATCAATAAGAGAATCTTTAGCACTTGAATTAAGATTCTATTTTAATTAGAATCAGTTATTTAAAATCCACTGTAGGCCGGGCATAGTGGCTCATGCCTGTAATCCTAGCACTTTGAGAGGGCGAGATGGGTGAATCATTTGAGGTCAGGAGTTGGAGACCAGTCTGGCCAAATCAGTGAAATACCATCTCTACTAAAAATACAAAAATTAGCTGGGTTTGGTGTCATACACCTGTAATCCCAGCTACTTGGGAGGCTGAGGCATAAGTATCAGTTGAACCAAGGAGGCAGAGGTTGCAGGTGAGCTGAGATCATGCCAGCCTGAGCGACAGAGTGAGACTCTGTCTCAGAAAAACAAAGTGCATTGTAAACATATTATTAAAGAAAATTTATACATTTATACATTATGCTGCTTGAAATTAAAAATCTCCTTATTTTATTATGGAAAGAAAAAATCTGAGATGTGAATGAATAATATTTTGCTATTTTGAGAATCTATGAAAACGTAACTTTTAAGCTGTAGTTAGTATTTCTTCCTCTGCACTTGCTATTAGAAGTCAAGCGCTTCACAGTTTAAATCCTTAAAAGGGCTTTTCCCGAGTTCCTGAAAATTATTTTCTTTTATACCCATGCTTCTGTGTTTTTAGATGCTGAACTGTGAAACATGTAGATTTGTTCTACATATTATGATGATGAAATGAGTTAATTAAGATACTTTCACAGAGGGCAAATCAGTTGTTTGCTTTTAAAAACATGTGTGCTTGTCTTGATTTAAACATTTGAAGCAGTGATTATAACATTGTTTATCTGTGGTTCAAAATGTTTACTTTTAGAGATCCTCAGCCTGCAGGTTTTGGGATAAAATAAAGGTTTTAACAATCTTGGTAGTTTAGGTTCAACCTCAAACCCTCTCTACTACCCTTCAAAACTGAGTTTTGTTTATTCTATGGTATCTTTTGTTCCTATTCTTAATATCCCTTACCACAATCAATGCTCTTAAAATTTTTACCCTGGGTGTGAAAGGAAAATACCTTGGACCCCCAAAATCACTAAGGAAAACTCATCTGCCCCCTGCCCCCACACCCAGCACCGTTCCATTCAAAGTTACTGAGATAGATGCATATCTGATTTGCTTCCTTTGGAAAGGCTAATCAGAAACTCAGAAGAATGCAACCATTTTTATATCACCTATCTGTGACC